TAAATATTTTTGCATTTACCCTGCAAAAGGGCAAAGCAACACTTTTCTCATAATGTTGTACCGGCTTGGGAGGGTATAGCTCCCGTTCAAACACTAATCTTGGTATTGCTATTAAGGGATTTTGCGGATATAATTAAAGTCCCTAATCAACTGACTTTAAATAAGGAAGATTATCCTGGATAATATGGTGGGCCTCACCCTATCAGGCCTTAAAAACAAGGCTCCAGACAGGAAATCCCACCTGTGGGCAGCAGCCTCAGCCCATGCCTGTGGGGTCCCATCCTGCTCATGAACCTTCCTGTTGGCCTGCCCTATGGATTTTATTATTATTATTTTTTAAGATTTTATTTATTTGACAGAGAGATAGAGAGCACAAGTAGGCAGAGAGGCAGGCAGAGAAGAGAGGGAGAAGCAGGCTCCCCGCTGAGCAGGGAGCCCGATGCGGGACTCAATCCCAGGACCTTGGGATCATGACCTGAGCCGAAGGCAGACACTTAACCAACTGAGCCACCCAGGCGCCCCTGCCCTATGGACTTTAGACTTGCTTAGTCAGCCCCCACATTCACATAAGCCAATTCCTTGTAAACAAACAAACAAACAAAAAAACCCTCTTAATATGTATTATCTCCTGCTAGTTCTGCTTCTCTAACTAAATCTGCAATATGGTGATCTTAGTACACAACTGCTTTTCTTTACAAAGGAGTTACCAACATGCACAAAATTCACAAATTAAACAATATTCCTTATTAGAGGACACAAAACCGTTAAGACTGGAACCATTTTGTGTGTAGCTCACTACAGGGCTCGATCTTGACTACTGATATTTCAATAGGACTGATTTTAAAAATTTTAGTACAATCTAATTCACATTTAAATAGTACTAATTTTATAACTTTAAGAACCTGATGGCTTCTTTAATTGCTGTACAATATGCAGTCTTCTTGAAGGTTTAAAATGTATAATCTTTGTGAACTAGGTGAGGGGAATCATGAGTACACTTATGTTGATGAGCACTTAGTAACAGATGGAAATGCTGAATCGCTATATTGCACGCCTGAAAATAATAATTATGTTAACTACACTGAAATTAAAATTTAAAAAAAGTATAATCTTCATGCTTCTCTAATAGAAAAATCTTTTTTAAATAACCAGACTTCATCTATCATGCTTCAGAAGTTTATTCATTTATTCATTAAGTTCTTAAAGGAACACAATTTGGTATTTACAAAGAGACGGATTACTTCTCTTGGCGAGCTCACCAAGCTAAATTTCTGCATGTAACTGAAGGAAAATACTGTGATTACAGTAACATTTGAAACAACTTTCCTTATATAGCTATTTCCAGATTGAATCTGATTATTTAATTCTTGTCTCTTGGGAGATTCCAGAAATCAAGGTCCACAAATCTGTTTGGCTTAATAGATAAGAAGTATCACTGGATTGGGTTTAGGAAATCTGGCTTCTAATCTTAGCTGAAGATGGGGAACTTCTTTAACCTTTCTGAGCCTACTTCCTTATTTAACAACAAATCAGTTATTAAATGCCTATTAGAAGCCAAGCAGTTGCCAGACACTAGAGATGTAACAGTAAACGTAACGAAGACAGTCCAGCTTTCACAGACTTCAAGCCTGACAAAGTGAGGGGTTTAGGCTAAATTACCTCTAAGGCCCGTTCCTGAGTTAGCATTCTAGGATTTAAATGGGATCATATTCATATATTCTGTGGCCTGAGGTTAATACAACAATGATTTCCAAATGACCTTGCAAAAGCTGTAAAGTATTAAATAGTTCCCATATGAACATTGGTAAAATAACTTTTTAAATCGTAAGCAGGTTTGACGTATTTATTCATAAAGTGATTCAACTATGGAATGACGCATTTTTAGCACTATGAAATCCAGTGTCTTGAAATCATTTTTCCCTTTTTATAACCTTGAACAAATTTTATATAATCTTGAACAAATCCTCTTATCTGAAGTTTTTCATGCATTCAGGTATTTTGCATGATGTCTGATGTGATCAGTAATAAAGGTTGCGATGAAGTAGTAGCTATGATCATAACCCTAGAAGACAAAAGCGAGAAATGGTAGGATATTTACCAGTCAGAAACATCAATATTAAGGACATTAAATATATCTCTCATGTCACTTAATTTTCTTGGAAATCCTGAAATTATTAGAACATGAGGAAGGCTTATAATCAAAATCAAGCTTATTATACTTGTACTTCAATATTTTCACTGAACATTAAGAGAACAGCAAAAATAGAAAAAGAAACATTCTGCATAGCCTCGTTTCTAGATGCTACCATTAATATGCAAAGAGAGGAAATAACACATTAATCAAATGTACAGGGTAAACAGGTGGTCATATCAACAAGGAATAAAATAATCAGAATTTAAAGAAGTCAGAAACATAGGCAAGAAGTTTCAACTCACAGAAGAAACACACTAACATTGGTAACACAGAAAATGTTAAAATACAAAATAAGCACACAAAGGCAATACAGAGAAAGAGCAAAAAACCACCCAAATGGTTAAACATTGTTTGGGAAGTCAAACACAGCTATCCTAAGTCTAGTTAGGAATTTCACCTCCTATGCAATAAAAGCATATCACATTTTTATTTGAGGAAAAAGGAATAATTCATTAAACCCTGACATCCCTTAGCAATAAACCACACTGGGTAAAAAGCCAGTCAACTATTTTGAAAACTATTCTGAAACAGAGAGAAAATGTAATAAACAGATCTCATGCTACCTGGTTAATTAAAACCACATCTAGATAAATGGAGAGAAGATGCTTCCTCGGGGCATCCTCTGAGTACAAGATAAGATGAGGCTTTCAAAGGAAAAAGAAAAAAATTAAGGTGGGAAGAACCTAAGGGGGGTTAAACAGGTAATTTGGGGGTGGCCTCCGTTCCAAAACACAATGAGAACAGAAGGTGAAATAAACTGAAAGGAGGTAAAAGTCTAAGAAAGATTTTTAAGTTTTTAGCTTATTCAATGGTCTGTGATGAGAGAAAATGGGAATTTTCCTAAGCACTTAAGAAGCAAAAAAAGCCCTAATAAAAATATCACCTGGGTTCCAAGGAACAAAGCAAATCCCTAAGGTTTTGATGAAATCGGTAAATGTTCTTAATCTTTTACTTTCAGAGAAATGCAATGTTACATATCTTGGGAACGGAAGTTAATAAGTAAAGAGTTCCAGGTTAAAGTCATCCAAGTAACTTAAAAGCATGATCTTTTGTTTCCTGTGGCCGAATCACAGAAATGAATCTGACAAGAATGTTGTCAAAATTAAGGCTGAGCTCTGGAATCACTTGGTTTCACATTTCTCAATGATTAGACCAGCCCTAGTTAATTAGTTCAATTTAGAGCTGAAGAAATTTCTTAGGGAGAGAGAGAACCATAAAGAAAAGCATTTTCCACTCCTGTAATTCCTCAATCGTTCCAAGGTTAAACAGGATCTTCAGACCCATGATTTCAACCCACAAACCCTAGGAAATGTAGGACCAAGCAGCACCTGCCAGTTTTTACAGATGGACAGATGTCTGAAGACAGGTCCGGATGCAAGGATGTGGGTGCCCCGGCACCTGTGCAGCACATGCCCTCATGTGACCGAGGGCTCTAACCTCATGCAGCTTCACAGGGGTTTAATGCCTTGCACAGTGTCAGGAACACACGGCGTAGCTATGACTATTCTTGTTATTATTTATTATTATTTTTATTTTATTAGAGAAGTCCCAGGGTAAAACAAAGTTACAATTTTGAGCTCTGAGGAGTGTACCACAAGATGACAGTATATTTTATCTAAAATACAAAGCCAGTTGTCCGTAACTTCCACAGTGATATTTAACAGAAGACCCACCTTCACGAGAAAATAGAAAATGGCCTATCACGACACAGCGAGAAAGATTTTTTTTTTTTAGAGAGCGCGTGCGTACACAAGCAGGGGGAGGGGCAGAGGGAGAGAGAGAACCTCAAGCAGACTCTCCATGAGCACAGTGCCCATTGCGGGGCTTGATCTTTCAACCCTGAGATCATGACCTGAGCCGAAATCAAGAGTTGGACACCCAACCAACTGAGCCACCCAGGCGCCCCAGGAAAGATTAAAAAAAAGAAGAAGAAGAAGAAGATAGCAGGAGGGGAAAAATAAGAATGAAGGGGGAGGAAATCAGAGGGGGAGACAAACCATGAGAGATGATGGACTCTGAGAAACAACCTGAGGGTTCTAGAGGGGAGGGGGTGGGGGGATGGGTTAGCCCGGTGATGGGTATTAAGGAGGGCACGTTCTGCACGGAGCACTGGGTGCTATACACAATGAATCATGGAACACATCACAGACTAATGATGTAATGTATGGGGATTAACATAACAATAAAATTATAAAAAAAGAAAAAAAATGTCAACTTAAAGGCAGGAGAACACATTGGAACTACTGGAGTTCCGTTTAGATAAAAGATGCTTATATAATTTGAGCTAATTGTGTCATTCTTGACTGGTCTTCCTGTTGTATTTATTGATATTATTAAATAGGGGTGGGTCCTTTCATTAACTTCTTTGAGTTGGTTTGATATGTTAAGCAGCTCGTGCAATTCCATATATGCAGTGACACTTGAAGGAGCCTTAGTTTTGTCTTCTACCTCCCACCTGAAATGGAAAAATCATCAGTAACAAATTCTCTCAGAGTATAAAAATAAATGAACACATTCTTTCATTCTTCCCTCAGCTCTCAAAAAAGTAGTGTGCCAGCAGCTATGATGAACATTTATTCTAGCAGGCAGTGTTTTCCCACACATTTTCCAGACCCAATTAGAAAAGCTGGTATGAATCCCTGGGTTCTTCAGTTTCTTCAGAATACAAAGAAGACTGCTGAAAGGCGCTCACTTGTTTGTTTAGGAAGCCCTTCCCGAAGTCCTACATGCTGGGTAATGGTGCTGAGCATGAGCATACAGGGGCACATGACATCCCTGCCCTTCTGGAATTCTGTGCCATGTTTTCACTATTCTCTAACACGCAGTGCAGAGGCCAAAACAGCCTCCGAGTCTTCAAAAAGGGCCTGACACTTGAAGAGGTCAGATAGCCTTGCTTCAATATTGTTTCTGGAAGTTTCTGTCAGGTCACTGATAGCTTTTCCTCACAATGTAACTTCAATAACTGGAAATAAGACATATGAGGCTTCAGAGTAAGATCTGATCTTTGTATACTATCAAAATTCTGCTATCTAGCGCTTTCTCAATTTAGATTCGCTGAAGTCTAAACAAAAAAAGAAAAATTCTATGAGGCAACAAACAAATATCCCCAGGCACCACACTTACCTCTCATTATTTTCGGACAGTAGAGAATAAAAATAGAGTGTGAGCATTTAACACCAAGGAGAGGTGAATAATAAAGTTGGGTAAATCGTGTACATGACTGTAGTAATTCTCAATCTTCCTCCTCAGCTCACAAACTTACACGTAGCCCCTACTTTTGTCAGCCTCCTTAATGCTTCACTGCTCCCATTTCATGAAGAAATACAGTTCCCTCGTACTTATATGTCAAGGATAAGGCAGGTACGATTCTCAGACCTGAGGTATCCTGAAGTAAGTGGAAGTTGGCCTGGAAACGTGAAGGCATCCTCTCCAGAGCCATGCCCAGTCATGTCTACTCAGCTGCTCATTCAATTATAACCAGTCTAAACATCATCCTCAGACCCTGTAGTGTGCTGGTAACCTGCCCTTGCCGGAAGGAAAGTGAATGAAAAATTGCGTCTGAGCAAAGATTGCGGCTGGTTAATTTCAATACTTTCCCACTTTTTTTAAAGAACTGAATATTTTGTCTCGACTCCTCATTAAATACACCCACCTGTGTTTTTTAGTTGCTTAGGATATAAGCATTTCAGAAATAAATAAGTTGATTTATTTTTTTCCCTCCAAGAATTTCATCAGTGTTTTACTTCTGTGCTATTTTCATAACAAACTCCAGAGATTTTTCAGTCTTTGCTGGCAGGCTGAAACTTTGGTGTTGGTAGTAACAACAGAATTTCCTGGCACCGCCTTGGTGGGGGGGGGAAGAAGAGGCATCCAACACTGCTAGTGCCAAGAAATCATTCGGAAAGAAACATGGTTTATTATGTCCCTTAGAGCTAGAGTTAATGTAGCTAAACACACTCCTTTATAATCAAATTGGTATTTGGGTTTCTCAAAGTTGGTTATTGACTGAAAACATGTAATTCCGATAAGTGTTTAAATTAATCTAAGAAAATACTATTACTTAAAGACAGACACTCAGAGAAAACAAGGTATATCTAATATATTGGTTTTTGACATGTTTTCCCACATGATCGATCGATCTACATATACATGTAAATATGTATGTAAATATATTATTATATAATATGTATTATTTACATGATCAAAATATTAGGGGAATTAAAAAACCAGGGAGACTGTTAAGCTCTGCTGCAGAAGTCAGATCACAGGTTACGCATCAGCTCCGCTCGCGTCAGCTAATCCCATCCCCGCGCTCCTCGGGAGCGCGCCTTCACCTTGCTTGGGGACGGTGAGACTGGTGAGAGGACGTGTGTCTCCATCCAAACGGCCTCGCTTCCTGTCCTGGTTCTACTGTAAACTAGCTGTGTGACCTCACATACAAAGTACCCTTCTGAGCCTGTAAAACACACAGGAGCCATATACGCAAACCTACAGCAAACATCATACTTAGTGGGGAAACACTGAAAGCTTTTCTCTAAGATCAGGAACAAGACGAGGTGCCCACTTTTGCCACTTCTGTTCAACCTAGTACTAGGAATCCTAGCTAGAGCAATGAGGCAAGAAAAAGACGTAGAAGGCGTACAGTTTGATGATATAATCTTAAATGCAGAAAACCCTAAAGATTCCATAGTAAGATACAAAAAGCAACACCCCAAAACCAGCTGCATTTTTATACACTAACAATGAACAATCTGAAAAGGAAATTATGAAAACAACTATGTGATTCCACTTACATGAGATACTTAAGGAGTAGTCAGATTTACAGCGAAAGTGGAATGATAGTTGCCACAGGTTGGAGACAGGGAGGAAGAAATAGGAATTAGTGTGTACAGGTTTCCTCTTTCTATGGAATTAGATCATAAGCATCACTAACTTAATAAGAAGGCTTTCACTTTGTCTTGTTATAATTAAAAAATACCTTACTAGAGGTAGCTTTTCAAATTCTGAAATATAAAGTATTATGGAATCCTGCTTAAAAAAAAAAAAGATTTTATTTATTTATTTAGAGAGAAAGAGAGAGTGAGCGAGCAGGGGGAGGGGTAAAGGAGAGGGAGAATCTCAAGCAGACCCCAGAGCTGAGCATGAGCTAGACATGGGGCTTGATCCCCCGCAGAGTCAGATGCTTAACCAACTGAGCCAACCAGGCGCCCCTGGAATTTTGCCTTATAGTTACTTAGAACAAGCTGAGGTTTCCTAGTACTTGCCTCTTGTAATCTAAAAACAACAGGGACTTTCTTTTCTGTACAGGCAGCTATGAAGTTATCAGGTAGTAACTGTCCATCTGAAAGGAACTGGTCATCTTTCCCTTGATCAATTAGTATGTCCAGCTGAGAACCTGGGTAGGACTTCACAAGATGGGTAGCATCATAAGCCTAGAAAAAGAAAAATATTGAAAAATAAATTGTAAAGTGCCCAGAAATATGTTCTTCAAAACAGAATGCAGTAGAACCAAATATAAATTTAACATTATTTAAGCTCTAAGGATGATTAAACCAGAAAAATGCTTTATCATTGTCTTGCCTGGCTTTTATTTATAAGATCTTCAGAAGTCTATGTCCCACTTAGAGCCTCTTCTCTACTTCGAAGCAGTCCTGGGCCAGTGGCAAGAATTCTGTACCTCAGCATTCTTCATAGTATAGACTTTTTTCTTCTAAACCTTTGAGGTTCTTAATCACCTCCCAACTCCAAAATCGTAATTTTTTTTCTTTATAAATCCCCCCCACAAATTGACTATTTCTTCTACCTTCCTTATCTTTTTCTATTTCCAGATATTTTCTATTTCAAATAGTCTATTTTGTTGCCTCTTCTTTTTGGCTCTAATTCCAGACTTAAATACATTCAGCCTTCTCTTCTGCGGTCTGTTGAACACCACCAAATGTCTGCTATCCCCATAAGCTTTCAGGAAGATTTAATTTAAATAATCTGACTCATATAAACAATCCCTCAAATTTGTTATCTGAGGAGCTGCCACTAGTTACAAGTTCGTATTTTACCATCCACCTTGAAGTATTCTGGATTCATATATATTCACTAGCGACAACTTCTATGTACCAATCAAGACAAACAAAAACCCAAAGAGTTCCCCTTCTAAAGTAGCCTGCTTTTAAGACTTGCTTTCTTTAATCTCATAAGGAGAGACTGGAAGGGGATCTATAAAGTCCAACTAGTTCTAAGCTCTGTGACTTCATAATTCTGCACGGCCTCCTTATTCCAATGCTAAATTAAATAGCCTAAACGCAACATAATTAAGATAGTAAAATCTACTGCCACTTAGAGAAAAATTATATAATTAGATTCCTTTATATGTTACCTGTGCCTCTACCTCTCCCCTCCTTTCTTCCAACCAGTTGGTCTTTTTCTTTCTTTTTTTAAGATTTATTTATTATTTGAGAGAGAGAGAGAGAGAGAGAGAGAGAGCAGAGGGACAGGAAGAATCCCAAGAAGAACCCCCCACTGAGTGGGGAGCCTGACTTGGGGTTTGATCTCACCACCCATCAGATCATGACCTGAGCTGAAATCACAAGTCGGACACTAAACTGACTGGGCAACCCAAGCACCCCACCAGTTGGTCTTTTACCCAACTCTCCCATCAGAACCTAAGACCCGTGTGGATGTGAAAGGTTATCATCACCTTTGTGACCTAAGATCTCAAACTCCACACAGGCTCTGCACAGTAGCAAGGACTCCAAACACCCAAGTACATGCACCATCAGCTCTCAAAGTACCTAATAGTAATCACTTTCTGCATTCTTCCAATATAATAAAAATCTGAGCCTAAACAAAACAGAATTCTAATCTAGTGCCTAAAAGATTAACCCTCCAATTTGTTAGAATTTCAATGACCAATCTTTTTTTTTTTTTTAAGATTTTTATTTATTTATTTATTCATGAGAGAGAAGAGGAGAGAGAGAGAGCAGAGGGAGAAGCAGGCTCCCAAGGAGCAGGGAGCCCGGTGCGGGACTCGATCCCAGGACCCTGGGATCATGACCTGAGCCGAAGGCAGACGCTTAACCATCTGAGCCACCCAGGCGCCCTCAATGACCAATCTTAAATAAAATTAGGATCCATGTGTGAATGACCCCCCCTGAACACACAACAGTAAGACAAAAAAATTTTTTTCTTCCCCCACTCAGGTATTTTCTACTTGTTAACATGATGATGGATGTATTTGCCAAATATTCAAACTCTTGGCGACGTTTGTAAATAGCTTATTTCTGCACAAAAGTCAAATGGGTCTCGGGAGAAAGAGCCATTTTTAAATTTTCATTTTGAAGCATTTGCTCCCATGCTTGAAAAAGCAATCTTGCTACTGGGAATGTTCGCATAAATGCACATTACACAATATCTATTTTTAAAAACTTGAGTCTGGAATTTAAAATCCAAATCTGAGAAATGCTGGATTTTGAAACAAATAAAGGAAATAATTAAAAGGCCAGGACTCATGCTTCCTGTTGTACAATTGAGCACCTGGTTAATAAGAGGCAAATCTAAAGTCAATAATAAAGTGTGGTATTTATTGGTAATGTTAATTTAGAAATAAACACAAAAATTAATCATTAGAATAAAGAATGTAGTTTCAGAACATCCACCACAATTCACTACAATTAGAAAATAGGGCTTTTTTGTTGTTGATCTTGTTCTACATATATTCTTTTGTTAATTATGTTAGCTCTGGATCTTTTAGTGAGTTAGGAATATAATGTCTGTGATGTGTAGCTTTTTCACAAATCTGAAAACTTAAGAATGAGTATGAAGACAGCCATCCCAGTACCTACCTTCCATTTACTTTGATCTGTTCCCAAATATCCACTAAAGGCTTTTTTGCCCCAAGGACAGAGCACTGGGTTGCAAATGGGAGCAAATGCCGACACAGACTTCAGAAACAAAGGAAATTTAAAAACAAGTTATATTTTGCTAAAGCAAACATGAACAAACATTTGCAACTTGCTTAAAAACTCAGAAATTTATCTGCAACTTGCTTATGAACTCTGACTTGCCATGAAAACACTTGTGAACAATTTTCCATTGGTTATATGAAGCACTGAGATTGTAGGCCTCTCCATGATACATCTTTTGTACATTCTGAGAGCTAATTAACCATAGGTGCCAACATACTGTAAAGCAATACATTGTATTCTCATTAAATAATAATTTCAATAAATAATTTATTTCATTAAATAACACATGCAAGTTTATATTCCGTTTCCACTCATTTTTTCCACTTATAACTAATGAGTAGTAATACAGAACAGTTTACACTCATCTTTGTGAACCTGTTATTAAATCTGAGACACATTAGTTCTCTTAAAGAGGGCCAGGAAAGCACTGAGCAATGCATTAAATATTTGTATTCTATGCAGTGTTGTTTTTCACTGGATAAGTGGCAGAGATGGAATCGTTCAGTTTCAGAGCACTTCTAAAAGTATATGTTTATTAACGTCTATTACCTTTTTTAAAGGACAAAAAACAACTGAATTTGACTTTCTCCCTTAAATGTAATAAACTGTCTTATGTATAAAAAATGGAAAATAAGACCTTATTTTAAAAACCTACTCTCAAGCCATGAATTAGTTCAACTTTATAATAAAGTCTGCTAAAAGAAAAATATCTGGTGCCACAATAAGAAACTGCTCTCAGAAATATTGTCATTTCTCAGGGGCACACCTGAAATAGCTAAGAAGTCTTTCCTAAGGGAAGGACATGGATTAAACAAATCTTGAGGTATCTGACAGCCCTGTGATGTTAAAGACAGAAGCAATCCTGAGATTATCACTGCTTCACCATTTCCTTTTTCAACATGATGGCATGCCGCTCTACCCAAGACATTTTACATATGGCGGTTATTCCAACTTGGCTTATTTAAACAACAAAAAAGTGAAGCTATACTATTTCAAATAAATGAATAGAAAGACTGACAGTGTTATTTTTCAGTTAAGCTGCAATCCAATTTGCATCAGAGGCAATGAGAAGAGAGAATACTTAAACTTTTACAAATCATGAATATTTTCTACCTCAGAAAATTAAAGTCAACTTAACAAATGTAATCCTGGGAAAAAATATAAGTAAGTGATATACACTGCCACAGTAATAAGAATAAGCTTTAGGGGAAAAAAAATGCCTATAAAACTATAGTTTGAATAGAAGCAATAAAAATTGCTTTACCATACTTCTAGTAGACCAACCGTGATAGAATTCCTGTATTTCTGATTCTGGAGCATAGAACCGTGTGGTCAAATTTAATACTCTTCCCCTAGAGCCCCCTGAAACTCCCAACACTAGAGAAGTTTAGTCCCAGTACTATAAAATAACAATATCCTAGTTTCACTCTTTGAAAGTTCCTAACTGATATTATCCAAGAGAAATACTTGTCACTGAAAGCTTCGGTAATCTTACTTTGTACTTTCCAGGATTCTTCAAAGCACAAATCAGAGCTCCATGGCCTCCCATGGAGTGGCCAAAAATAGACATCCTTTGGGGGTCCACTGGAAAATTGGCATTTATGAGTTGGGGAAGCTAGAGAGCATTTAATAGTGTGACAAAAGATATGAAAGAAACAAGTTTAGACTTCTTCAAAGTCATAAAATAATTACACAATTAACACTTCCAAATCTGTCTTAAGAGTACTATGAACTAATAAAGATGAAAAAAAATCTCAGGTAGACAAGGATTATTAATGTATCACTGGAGAAAAGTAATCCTCAGAAAGCAAATTAAAGAAGACGATGCAGAAAAGCCTTTAAAATGTCTTAATTTTTGATCTAGTAATTTCACTTCTTGGCATCTATTCTAAGGGAAAAGTCCTTAGGGAAAAAAAAATTATACATAAAGACAACCAATGCAGTAAAATTTACTGTGGTAAGAAATACACGTAAATATGTAAATAACCTACGTTAGAAAAAACTAAATTATGACATTTGACAGAATGTTATGCAATTACTAGGTTATGTTACAAAGAGAGTATTAGAAAATATTTTATACAACTAAAAAAAAGAAGATAAAAAATTTTACAACTGTATGAAAACTG